CATTATAAACCTCTTATATCGTTTTTTAAACTGTTCGTTATCAACAGTATGTACATCGCGACTTGGCTGCTCGTAACATTCTTCTTGGCAAAGACATGGTTGCCATGGTTTCAGACTTTGGCTTGTCACGTGACGTTTATGAGTCTGGTGTTTACGAGAATACGTCGGGGGTAGGTATTGCAGTAGTGCAAAGTTAATTACGATTTTGAAACAATACCACACACTACCAAAATTATGGCTACTAGCAGTTAACACTGGAAAAAGCGCGCGCTTTAAAGTTTGTAAATTTGATGTAAATATGATGTAAGTGTCCAAAATTCTGTAAATTTAATGGAAATCATTTACATCAAATTCACAGAATGGTGGACACTTACGTCATATTTACATCAAATTTACAACCTTTAAAGCGCGCGATTTTTTTCCAGTGTAACTATAGAATAAGGTGCGTTGGTGTTTCTAAAGAAACAGTTGTGAAAAGGTATAATTTAACTCCGACGAAACGTTAGTAAGTTGTTTCACCTACTTTTTTGTGTTAAATTTATTTTTTACACAACTGTTCGCACAATATCATTATCATGAAAAGCTTCAAAACTCTTGTGTTTCTAACCCTTTTCCAAAATCGTCATTATTTTTCCTATCTTCATCAAAGAGTGAGGTTATTTTATGAGTTCTGACACAAACCTTGCCGCTGATTTAATTATTGAAACAAGGAGGAATTATGATATGTTTTAACGATATTAAAATATCGTTGCAGGGTATTCTACCTGTGCGATGGATGGCTCCCGAATCTCTTCAAGATTTTAAATACAACACGGCAACTGATGTGTAAGAACGCTAATGCTAAACTAAACCGAAAGTATAATTATTTCGTTGATCGGTTAAGGAAAGACTGGGAAAGGGCCATACAAGACATATAAGGGGAAGAGAGAGATTGGGGATGGGAAAGACTAGCCTCTTTTTCAGTTTGTTTGTTCTCTTTCGCCCATTTTCTCTTTTTCGCCTTCTTTTTCTCGCTATATTTCAGAATATAATATTGTCCGCGTAAAAGTACCAGAAGGTTTTTGCTTTGTTGGTTTTTGTAGTTGACGTCGTTTTCAATTCTAAAATGACTTCTCGCAGGGTAATCTTCTGTCGTTCGTTCCTCACTAAAATACCGGTATTTTTCTGTGAGTTAGGAACGAACGACAGAAGATTACCCATGGATTTCCGAGAATAGACTTCTCGTCACCGTTCTCTTTGTTCAGATAGCTATTGTTGTTGAAATGGCCGTATCCAAGTGCCACTGGTGTTTTGATGTCCAAAATTTCAAGGACAATCTTTCAGGAATCATCTGTAATTGACAGTATTATCACTAGTTATAGAACTGTCGATTGAACTCAAAAATGTATTTGTTTAAATTCAGGTGGTCATATGGGGTTCTTTTATGGGAAATGGAAAATCAAGGTATTGAAAAAAATCGAATTCATTCGTAAACATTATGTGCCTAGATGCATACCTAAATTTTTCGTAAGTATATACGTTACTTATACGTTGTACGTACGTAGTTCTTGCGTTCTTACGTTGTTCATACGCTGCTGCGTTTTTTATCCTGTAGGCTTGGTTCCATATGGAGGTCTCTCCGGGCTTGAAATCCTCCATCACCTACAACAAGGCTACAGACTACCAAAACCACGTGACACGTCAC